CACGGTGTGGTGAAGCCAGTATAATATGTTTCACCACACCACGAAGCTATAATACGTAACAAGATGTTAAAATCATCTAGCAAAGGTATAGTGTCTCTAGTTTATCTGTGTTGTCATTTTGGTAGAAGTTATTATGAAACAAGTGTAATGGCCAATTCTATGGTAATGGTAAATTTGAGTAAGTCCAATCTTTTGTGTTGGCCATTACAGTTCAAATCTGTTTCATAGTGTCTCTAGTTGTTAGAATTTACCCCAGCAGGAGAAACGTAATATATTGAATATTAGTATTGTAAATTCTTCAGGTTCGTCTGGGTCTCTGTCTAAGCGCCAAGCGGCCGACCCCGGTCCTGCCTCTGCTGAGACCGCTGGATACATCCCAGGGGTCGGTCTGAGGAGCCCTGGTCAGTCCCGAGTCTGGACCAGCGCCTTGTTGAAAACCTACGCTGTGGTGTCAATGGCGCTGATCTGCTGTCTGCTGGGAGTTACCACCTTTCTGGGTAAATAAATGAGCAATGTATTTTTTTTAGAATTTGTAAGTAGAAAATGATTAAAAACTGAACCTTCATTAATTGTAATTGTCTGTCCTCTTTCCTACATTATTCGGTGTTCTCGTCCATCTACACAGCTATGAAGATGTCTGACCTGAAGTTGACAGTCCAAAAGCTTGACCGGGAGACAAAGGGCGATCTGAAAGACCTGAAGCTGTCAGTCAACAAGCTCGACCAGAAGACAACTGATGATCTGTCGGGCCTGAAGCTGGCATTCAACAAGTCCGACCAGAAGACAACTGATGATCTGTCGGATCTGAAGCTGTCAGTCCTCAAGCTGGACACGAAGACAGCCGACATCCAGGCAAACGTCTCTGGGTGGATTCATCGCCAGCAGGTATGAAGCAAATTCTTTTTGTAAAACATATCATGGCCTGGATGACATATTGGAGAGTTGGTGAATTCTAATCGATGTGTTACTAATTTTAACAGTAAAATCCAATATTATCAAGTGACATACTACCACTAAGATGACGAATTGACGTACCGCAAATCTTACTGAGCTATATTCATTGCTTTCATCCAATGCGAAACATGGCTGTAAAGCAGGGCATTTGATTGGTTGTGTATGTACCAGTCATGTTACAGTTACCTCTTGTTACTTTTATGCATTATCAATTTTGGTTGAACCTAAATCATTATTAATTAACATCTATGTTACATTTGATTTGATTTCTGTACTGTGACCAGTACTACTTACTTTCCTGTATTTATTTACTTAAATATTATATTAAGTTATAATTTATGTTATGTCTGATTCTGACTCTCTGTACCTTTTGAGTTGTTATGATTTTATAATTGTCGGTGTCTTATAAGCCCATGTGGGCTGGGCGACGTGTGGTTGAAATCACACGTAAATAAACATTCATTCAGTAATTCATTCATTTACAGAAAATGAAAGAGGACCTGTCGGCAAAGCTCGTGGAAAATGAGGAAGCTGTGAACAACGTTGCAGCCAGAGTGACACAGCTGACCAAGTCAGGACTGGAGAAGGAGAAGATACTCCAACGTCTGGAGAAGCTGGAGGACAACATGAAGAACAAACAAGACAAACCGGAGAAGGAGCGCGCTCCGATACGCCTACCAGGTAGGAAGGTTTCACAATATGCTGACTTAAGTGGTTTCATAATTCATTAGTCTTGTCTCCATCCTTTTGCCAAATGCATCATTCCCTTTGTCGGTTAAGCACAAATTAATGACTTACCAATAACTTCTAGTACAAAAATCTAAGAAACGTAAATTTGTCCAACAAAAACTAACCTTTCATTAGGTGTTAAAATTTCTTAAGGAGGATTTAAATAAGATTAAGATGTAGAAACAGGTGCATGTATGTATGAACGAGCTAACTTATTCAAAAGGAGATAAGCCAACACGGAAGTGTGGACTACGATTGTACCTAAAACATCTTGAAAGTAGCTATTCCATCAATTAGGCAGTTCAAAGTTTTGGATTTTTATACTTTTTTAAGGTCAAGTCGATCACTTCAAGATCAGAGAAAAAAAAGAATTGCAAAGACGATACTTTTGTGTAGACTACAACCTGTGATATATGTGTCATGGCTCTCAAGACCAGACATTTTCTGTTTTTAGCGACCTGTCCAGACGGTTACAAGAAGTATCGCGAAGTCTGCTACAAAGCCTTTGACGTCAAGAAGACCTTCTCCAAATCGTCTGAGACCTGTCGGGCTGACGGAGGCACCCTCGCCATGCCCCGTGACGCCGGCATCGACGCCTTCCTCGTCTCCCTGATAAAACCGGTATGTAGGTTCTGCGACTTTTGGATCGGCTTACACGATAAGCGACAGGAAGGCAAGTGGGAGTGGATAGACGGCACCGCTCTGGGGACCGGCTATAACCGGTGGGGGAGCGGTCATCCCAACAACTTATGGAGGAATGACTACTGCGCTCAGTACTACATGTACAAGCTTGACTCATCGGTCCGTTGGTATAATGGGGATTGTAACAGAAGCTACCGTTTCATCTGTCAAGTCCTGCCGTCAGGTTCGTATTATTTTACAAACTGATATGATATTTTATGAATAATGCAGAGATGTCGAGTTGACAGAAACAAGTACTGAGTATACAAACCTTCATGATTTTTTTAAAAGGACTATCAGTGCGTATCTGGTAGAACTGAATTGTAAAAATCAATAATTTGTACTAAATTATACATCATTCAACAATGATAGAGAATGGCAAATGAAACATAATTGCTAACTCATGATGCTGAAAAAAGTAGTAGTAAGCAGACAGGAATAGAGAGAATACTGCGAACAGTCCTTTGCTAATCACAAATCTTTAATTCATGTTCCCTTCAGCTGCTCCAGGCAAGTAACCGGACGCCCATATATGGAAAGCGGCCCCGGCTACAGTCGTGAAACGTGGGCCTCGACATCCGGGTGTGAAGACGACTTAGAGGTGACCTAGGCGTCACATGTAGAAACAGCCAACATTTTAGTCTGAGGCAGGTTTAATTCCACGGACAGCGCCACGGCGCTAGTCTGCTTACGTAGGAACTAAGGCTTTAAATTTTTAATGTCTTGAGATGACATAAGAGTTCACAATTATTGCACTGTTTCAGATTTTCACCCGGCAATTTTTATGATAACAGAATAACCGATGCAATAACTTAAAATGGTCCAGCGTTAGTTCGCCTTGCATCCAGAAGATTGACGATTCATAAAAATGTCTTCTAGAATGATTTCATTTTTCAGCGGTTCTGCCCAGTGCAGCACCATATAGGCCTAGGTTTGTGGAGGACAAGATATGCGATATGAGGGGCCGGTCAATACATGTATATGGAATCCATGTATAAACGTAGAATTGGTAAGAGTTGTATACAAGTTGCCGATTGTATAATGAAAGGATGAAACCGTGGGTAAAGTACAATGGCAGAGTGAATTATTTGCGTTATCATCATTGTTCATCTTACATGAGAAAAAAATAAACATGACACATGCTGAAAGAAAGATAAAAAGCCTGCCGCGACCCTTGGTCAATAAAATATTGCTGACACTGAGAACATGGGTGAGGCGACCCCTCCCCTGTATGCATGCGCATCATAACATAATAGTAAGGATGATACCGGCTAAACATGACCTTTGCAAAGAAAAACAATCATGTAGAAAGTGTTGTGAGCTTAATTGGTCTGCGCTGCGAGTGTTGCGAGTGGCGCTTGGAACGTCACTGTTTGGTACGCATATGGATGGAAGGGAGACGAGTCTTTCTTCGCGCGTCTTTCTGTGTTGATTCAATTCATGTAATCTTCAGTGCCAACGTAAGAACCAGACAATTATTACGGGTGTGAAAAACAACAGATAACGTTCAAAACGCTACATTTCGGGTAAACAAGTTGGTGGCGAGAAGACCGCTGCCTGCGCTGCGATGGAAGAAAACGTCTACAAGGAGGCCTGTAACGTCTACAGCTCCTGCAACGAGGATGCCAACAATGACTACGAAGAGGCCTGCACGGTCTCTCAGTCGAGGGTTTCAACTAGAAAGAGGACCTCTGGCCTGAACCTCGAACCGAGAGCCTCAGACTTAGCAAAGGAACCAGGTAAGGTTCTGTAAAGATCAGGAATATATCAGAAGCGCCAAACATTCTTATCTGCTATATACGAACTCAAACGAGAACAGAAGGGACAGTCGACAGGGGGCTGGCAATGTTTAGTCTCGCTCGGACAGTATTAGCTAGACCTGAACTCTATATCCGGTTCAATATGTTAGTTAATGTTTTTACATGTATGTATACGTGCATAATTGTCTCAGATCATGGATTCTGACAGTCAATGTAATTTAACGTCGGATCTTACCTGTTTAACTCTTAAAGTGAGGGGGATAAATCAAAAGAAGAACAGTCTTCCGGTGGTTGCACCAACAGAAGGTAGATGTAGTTTTTCTACAGGAGACATTTTCAAACGCCAAAATAGAACGTGTTTGGAGAGCAGAGTGGGGGGAACAATTCTCTATAGTCATGGATCAAACCATAGCAAAGGCGTCGCCATTCTTGTTAACCCTAGAAAATCTTGTGAAATAGTTAATTGTGTTAATGACTCAAATGGAAGATTATTGATAGTTAATGCCGCCATTGCTGGCGAACAAGTATGTTTAGTTAACATTTACGCCCCAAACGAAATCACTGAACAGTATATGTTTTATCAGGATGTAAGGAATAAACTCAGAGAAAATCCTACCAGCCATGTAATAATGGCAGGGGATTTTAACTGTGCTCTTACTGACATGGACAAACGTGGCGGGCGCCCTGTAAAGGAAAAACTACGAACAATACAAGCTATTAATCTCTTGATAAAGGGGCATGACCTAATTGACATTTGGCGGGAAAAGAACCCCGATGAGAGAAGGTATACCTGGCGGGATGCGAATCAAAATATAATGTGCAGATTGGACTACATTTTTGTATCAGAAAGTCTAAAAATCCGATGTGGCAGCGCGAATATTATCCATGCACCGTCACCCGATCACTCGGCAGTTAAGGTACACTTTAAACCTAAAAACGCGCGTGAAAGAGGCCCAGGGTTTTGGAGATTTAATAATACACTTCTCAATGATGCAACTTACACTGATGAAATGAAACACAAAATTGACGATTCTAAGGTGAAATACTCCCAAGTTGGGGACAAAAGACTAAGATGGGACTTGATAAAAATGGAAATACGGTCATTTACCATGTATTATTCTAAAAAGAAAGCAAAAGAGAGAAAAAAGACGAGTACTCAGCAGAAAAGCAAACAAACTCCCACTTGAGGGAATACGAGTCAAACCCCAATCAAGAAAATTAGGTGTAAGTATAGTCGTGCTAAAGAAAATTAAGATGAGATTAGATG